CGTATCTCACGCTTACTTTTGGAGCCTGACTGCCTTCTCCTGGCATTTATTTCAAACAAATGCAGGAATCACTCCAAAGCGGTGTTTATGCCTGCCGCGTGCACTGCGACCCTTGTTTCCTCGGAGCTTTTCTCCGCTAAGTTGGATGCCAGTCGTTTCAACGATCGGCGCATCGCATGCACGATCGTGGAAGTGGAGTTTGAATTCGTGTGGAAGCCTTTTAAAAGCGTTATCACGGAGGCCAGCCCAGCCGTTAATGTATCTGACTAGTCTGCATCAGAGAACTAATGTCTCATGGTGTTAAGTTTCCCCGAATTCAGGCTTGACTTACCTTGTGTGCGATTCGGTGCCAAATCTGGCCCTACTTGTCCCATATTTGGGTCTTCGTGCCATCACATACCCAAGCTAACGAGCCTCTAACATGGCAGCTGGCCGCGAGAAGCTGGTCATAGAAATTCTATCAGTTGCCTGTAGAGAGGATGATTATTTTGGTATTGAGTGTATGTTCTCTTATACGCAGAGGATTATCCATCAGATGCCACATCAATCGCAATGATTAAATATACTTTAAATTCAAACAAATTTCTTAAGTAGGCTTGTCATATTTATTGTCGTGTAACCGAAGCTCAAGACATTTCAGTCACTTCAGGATGTCAGCTTTTCAACGTCTTCAAAAGTCTGCGATAAGTATACTCTCTTTAGAATTTCTGCTTACTTCTTATGCATTTTTCTTATTGATTTTCGATGCCTTTAAAAGTTCAAACATACATTTTATAGAAAAAGGACAAAAATATTTTTTAGAAATTTTTTAGGAAGAACATTATGTCTTCTTCGAACTAGGTAACTGAAGAAGCAGTATCTTTCGGTTTCACGAAACTGTCAAAAGTGCGGAATAATTTTGAGTTGCACTTATCATTACACCTAACTTCGTGGTTTCCAAAATACATGCCGTATAACTTCTGGCCACGATGAAGAGGTCACATAGTTCTCACAACCTTCATAAATTGTAAATATGATGCACAGTGAAT